TTTATCTGGACCCTTAGTCCATTTGTAACTTTCTAAAATCAAAGTTTTAATCACCCTTTTGGTGTTTATCCCAGAAAAAAAAAATTAAGTCCTTAAACTTGTATTTAGAACACATGTCACTAAGGATTGAAGATAACTCACCTGGTGCTCTAAAACTTGTCAATCCAAAGGTTCCTAATACAGGCAGTCCCCAGGTTAAGAATGAGATCTGTTCCTAAGTCTATCTTTAACTCGAACTTGTATGTAAGTTGGAATTCGTACTTACAAATGGGCTGCCTATTACTAAAAATGGTGGATGGCGTTCTGTTTCCTCAAACCAATGAACTGCTGAAGCCATGCAATGTATTCATGAATTGCTGAAAACTGCTGAAAACAGGCTGTATATTAAAAATGCACAGCTTCAGGGTTTCATGAAAACATTGTGCGGCTTCAACAGTTCATTGGCTCGAGGAAGGAGAACGCCGTCTACCATTTTTAGTAATAGGCAGCGTGTTTGTAAGTACAAGTCCATAAGTCAGACGTTCTTAACCTGGGACTGCCTGTAGCTGAAAAGCAGTTAACAAGCAGTTTCTGAAAGTGATTAGAAAAGGAAGTATGCAAACCCAGTGTCAACCTCGATTTTAGCAAGATGGCTATTCCCTTGACTCCCAGAGCTCTAAACCTGCCGGAGACCACTGTCCTGTGGTCTCCTCACAAGGAACAACTGTCTGGAGCACTTGTGGGCAATCTTAAGTCCTCTCCTTGTCCAGAAAGGAATTAAGAAGAGCCAGTCTACTCACTGGCTCTTCATTCTGGCATGGTTGTTGGCTCTATAGTCTTCAGTTCGCCATTTCTTCCCTGGAAGTCTGATGTTTAGCAATGATTTCATAACATTTTTTATTTTTTAAAACATGCATGGTTAATCCAGAAACCAAGCTCTGAGAAGATGTATTTGTCTGGATATGGTGTGGAGCTTGCAATAAAGAGTACAGAATATAAAGCAGTGGATGAATCTCAGGCTGAAGGTACATTTTTCTTCTTTGTGTGGTATAACTGGAGACAATATTAGGACAAAATATGTCTCTGATTTTGGAGGCAGTAAACTTTTGCATAGCCCCATTGAAGATAATGGAAAATACATATTGGGTCAGTAATTCATCTAGTATTTGTTTTCCTGACACACACTGTTGGTTGTTATTACATTTTGGGGGAGATGGCAAAAGTAGCCACGGGCACTGAGAATCAATATAATAATGTACATCTGTAATTTTTTGTAGATGGAAGCCTGTGTGAACTGGAATATACATCAATCACAGTCTTCTGTTTCTGTTTTCTGTATGGGGTCTTGTCTATAATTTCTTTTTTCTCATTTTAGGTAGGGAAAAAATCATTTGTAACAATGTCTGCAAAGTGAATGTGTTGTCATATTTTCTTCTGATGTATATTTAGCTACAAGAAATGGAACAGAGGAAGAAGATAATAAGGAAAGTGAAGTCCAAGGATTTCTCTTTGATTCATTAATGTGAGTTGATTTCAATCATAATCCTATATTTCACATTTGAATGAATGATTTTATTATATTGCAAAGGTTAAAAGAATTGTACTGAGAAATCAATTTATGAAATTATAAATCTGTTATAAAATTTGAATTAATAATTACAAATGTTTTGAGATATATAATTAAAGGATATAACATGCAGTTGCATACGTGTTATGATCAATATATATATAATAATTGTATTGCTTTGCTTTCTTTTTTCCTTTTTTAAATTCTTTTTCCTTTTCTGTTTAATAAAGGCATTTTTAAAAAAGATCAGAGAGCCAGTTTGATGTTGTGGTTAAGACATCAGGCTACAAACTGGGAGGCCATGAGTTCTAGTCCCACTTTAAGCACAAAGCCAGTTGGGTGACCTTGGGCCAGTCACTCTCTCTTAGCCCTAGAAAGGTGGCAAGGGCAAATCACTTCTGAAATCTTGCCAAGAAAACTGCAAGGAGTTGTCCAGGCAGTTGTCAGGAGTCAAGACTTACTTGAAGACACTAAAAAAAGAAAAAGAAAAGATTAAGATTCACATAATAGTAACATAAACATTGCAGTGTTTATTTTTTTTACTAAATTTGGACATCAGCTCCCATCAGTCTTAGTCAATCTGGAACAAATTGTGAGAATTGGCCAAAACATTTGGAAGATCTAAGGTACTCATTTCTAAAGGAATGCTGCAGTCTTTATGGAAAAGTATTTCCAACAGTAATATTGCAAGGAAACTAAAACTTATTTAAAAGAGAAAGAAACTGAATGAGTAAACAAGAATTTAAACAGCACCCAAATATATTTCTAAAACCTACATTACTGACTGCTGAGGTCTTTCCATGGTGTAAAATAAAAAATTAAAATTAAGACCTTAGATACCAGAAACAATCACAGAATTATAGCGTTGAAAGATCAGCTAGTCCAACATCCTGCTCAGTGCAGGATCTTCTAGAGCGCCCTTGACAGATAAACATCCAGCCCTATTCAGAGATATCCAATAAAGGGAAACATAAAACTCAATGTGGCAAACAATTCCATTGGATGATGACAGCTCTTACCATCAGAAAATTCATCCTAATATCTAACCTGAATCTACTTCCCATTAGTTTCAGTGCATTGGTTCTAGTCCTGCCCTCCAGGGTGGCAGAGAATAAGTCCCTTATCTGTGTGATGATCCTTCAGGTACTTGAAGATTACTATCATATTTCCTCTCAGTTGTCTTTTCTGTAAGTTAAACACACTCAGATCATTTAATCACTTTTCACACACTTTGTTTCCAGGCCCTCCATCCTCTTGGTAGATCTCGGGGGAACTTGCCATAATTTGTCAAATGTCATTTTTGAACTTGAATTGAAGTAGAGCCACTGAAGAACACTCTTTGGTTGTGATCATTCAGGCAGTTGTGATTCCATATAACAATAGTATTATCTAGCCCACATTTTTCCATTTTATTAAGGATATATCATGAGAAATTTTGTTGAAATCTTTCCTAAGGTCCATGTCCACTGTACATCATTCTCCTGATTGGCTAAGCTATAACTCTACAAAGAAGGAAATAAAGCTATGGCACAATTTGTTGTGACAAAGCCATCCTGGCTTCTCTTAATTGTAGCATGACAACCCAAGTGCTCACAGACATGCCATTTAATATGTTTAAGGATCTTTCCTAGTATTGACATCTTGTTGACAGGTCTGTAATTCCCCAAGTCCTCCTCCTTCCCCTTTTTGAAGATGGGAATGACGTTTACTTTTCTCCACTCTTCTGGGACCTTGTCAGTCTTCTATAGGGAAAGCTCAATCCAGAGTTGCTGCAAGATGAATCTGATCTTGAAGAACAGGATTTTATAGGAAGAGGCATTTTGTCAAGCTTGTTTAAGACTGTAAAGCACTTTATATTTCATCCAGAACAAATTGGCTCCCAGTGCAATGCTTTCAGAGCAGGTATAATGGGTCTCTTCAAATTTTTCTAGACACCAATCTAATGGATATAAGTTACAGCTACCTAAATTTTGTCACCCATCAGAACCATCTTGATTTCTTTTCAACAAAGCTAATTCATAGGCATATCCCAATGCTCTTGTATGCTGGTAATGCAGTTTTCCTATCCAGGTTCCAATTGGCTTAAAACACACTTTAAGATCTCTTGCTATCTCCTGTAAGGGCAAAGAACTAGTATAAACAAACAACTGGTATAGGCAAAAATAATGGTCTTTGCTAAGCACTCTAAACCTGTATATGGCAATTAAATGGCTACAAAATCAAAAAGGTAAGATACTTAAATACTTCAGAATTATTTTTCAGGCCTTAGGTGGGAGAACTGTTCATTCAAATTCTATAGCTCAGGATGCCCAGAAATCAGCTTCAGCGATTGGAATCCTTTATTGATTGAAACGCACTCTATTTATTCCTGCAGCTTTAAAGCTATTTGCTGCTAAAGCATGTTCTCAACTTCAGTACAGTGCCTGGTGCCCAGCTTGGCCCCTACAACAACTATTCCAAGTAAAAACTATGCATTCTCAATTTTTGAGAAGTATACCACAGAGTATCCCCAACGTTGTTCTCTGCTGTGAGGCGGGAGCAATTAAAATTGAGACTAAAATCTGGCTACTTTTCTTTGCATTTTGAATAAAGTTAAATTTTCTACCCATAGCATTCACCCTCTGACACTAACAGATGATTATAATACTAGGTGGAAGAGACACCTGACAGAAAAATTGCATTTCTTACACTGTTTCTCAGGAAGCCCTTCTGCCTTGAGAGTATGAACAAGTCAAGAGAGTATTGACACAGCATGTTCTGGACCTGGAAAGACAACAAGATCAGAAACATTTTGTTGATCTCCTCCAGTTGGACCTGAAAGATACTTAAGTTCCATCCCAGTTTCCAAACTGAGGAGAGCCTTTACACTGTTGCAGTTTAATACTTCACCCTCAGTTGTCCTGGAAAGTGCTATACGCCCAGTAATGTGCTGGTAAATGTTTAACAACCAGCTCTCCAGAAAAAAAAAAGAAAAGAAATCCAATGCCCCCAAGCCTCACTGACACTGTTAGCCTCATTGCCGCTGCAGTGCTGTACAACATGTCGCTGAACAGCTGATCGCTGCGTCAGTCTTTGTGGCTCTGCTCTGCTCTACTCTGCTCAGAACCGGCTTGCAAAATTCCAGATTTTACAATCAGTTCTCGCTACTCAGTGTAAGCTGGCTCCAGCACATCACTGCATACCCTCTTCAGTAATGTCCATGTGATATAAAATCTACTGACCACGTGTAATTGTATTGCTGGTTTTAGAGGGTTTTTATTAGAGTCCATTTTATTTCCCCTGATTTGGTAAAAATGTCCAAACGGTACTGATTTATTTTACACCCACCTTCTCTTACCTGATCAGACAGTATCTATCTCTATGAATGTAAATTTATTTATGCCATTAGTAAAATCATATGAGAGGTGATTGTTCCTCTAGGTTCATATATGTGGAAATTTTAGATTTAAGTTTTTCTTCTCAGCTTATGTATCTGAGGTCTAACCACCAGTTTATCACCAGAAATATAGATTTAATAGGAATTAGAGAGTTACAGTATTAATACTAACAATAATAGTTATTTTAGTCTTAGAAGTTATAGTATTAATGGAAATAATTTTTTGTTTTATTCTGTTATCTTACCAAACTCATATTCAAGCTCTATGTTTTTGGGTTTGATTACTTTATTCTAATCAAAGTGTTGGGTTGATTATGCAATGCTATGCTGGTCAATGAAGAGATAAAAATTTTGATTTGATTTAATTACCTACATTTTGTATAAATATAAGGAAAAACTTCTTGACAGTAAGATCTGTTTAACAGTGGACTAGTCTCCCTATGGAGGTTGTGGGTTCTCTGCTTCTGGAGGTTTTTGAAAAGAGGCTGGACGGCCACCTCTGATGGATGATCTACTTGGTTTTCTTGCACGATGCAGACAGTTAGATTATGGTTATTGTATGGTTATAGCCCATAACTATACCAAGACTTTTATACCAAGTTTCTGAACTAGATACTAGATAGAGCACACTGTACTGTATGGCCAAGCCTTGAGATTACTAGTGTGCACTACAAATAAACCATCCAAAGTGCTTCATGTTTGACTTATACTAAGGAAAACAATAGCAGAATAGCTTCATAGGGCATCGCTTCTATTTCTAATTGTATAAATTTAAGCTCAAAGAATTGTAAGTTGCAACTAAAACTTTGTAGCAATATTAAATAACAGTGCTTATTCTAGCTAAAGGCAAAGTTATATTGGCATCCTTCTTGGGGAGAGTTTATTTATTATTACTGTTGGTTTTTTGTAACTTTGATTGTTGCATTTTATTGATGTGACCTGTCCAGAGTCTTTTGAGTTGGGTGGGCTATAAAAACTGTAAAATGAATACATATTTAAAGAACTGTCATATAGAAGAAGGAGTAGACTTGTTCTCTCTTGACCCAGAGGGCAGGACCAGAACCAGGAAGCTTACTGGTTTAAGTGGCATGGAAATAGATTCAGGTTAGATCCAGGAGGAATTTCCCGATGGTAAGAACTGTCAACCAGTGGTATGGGCTGCCTTGTATAATGATATATTCCCCTTAGCTGGAGCTCTTCAATCAGTCAATAGCCATCTGTCCAAAATGCTGTAGCAGATCCTACACCAAGCAGGAGAATTGGACTTGATGATTTTTGAAATCCCCTTCAGCTCTATAATTCTTTATCTGTAACCTCCTGTACATAAATGGTCTTTAATGTTAACTCTCTTTATTTTTTATAATCCAGGCAGAACTATCCTGATCTCAAAGACAATCTGAAAGAGTTGAGAAAATACCTGATTGAAAGCACTGATGATACAGAGCCTTTGAAATTGTGGGAACTACAAGGTATTACTCATTATACTGGGTGTTCACCTTTGTGAAATACAATATGTCAGTAATAATATCCATGTTACAGCTGCAACCTTGTCTATATCCTGCTTTTTATATCTCTTTCTTGGAGAGGAAATTGCAGGAGGTACAAACTAAAATATTATTATAAAGAATATAAATATTATCAATTTCTCAGAAGTAAAGAAGGAATGTCCTTTCTGTTTAGCTGGACCTTTTCTTGTTGTCAAGAGGAGGAAAGAAGAAAAGGTTTAAATCTTCTGTGCCTGAAATCTCTAGAGCAAAATTTATCTTTATTGATGCTGTTAACAGGGCATGGGAGTAGACCATGCAGTGCTATCTTTGTAAAATAAGAACTATAATACTACTTTAAAAGCTGTTTTGTCATATTCACAAAATGTTGAAAATGAAGGAAGCTTGCAGAAGATTACGCTTTTTTCATAATAACATGATAGTTACATGATATGTTGTCTTCCTCCTTTTCAACATTATTAGTCATTGTTTCTTGTAACTTTTATATTACACATGGATTGGTTAGCAAAATGGAAATATGGAAGCAGTCTTTAATGAAGAAGCTAAGATTTATTGATCTTAGTCCACTTAATCTAGTTAGGTAACTAAATTTCATATAACATAGAACAGAAAACCAACCAGTGTTTCTGATTTGTGCTTTTACTTTCTTCCTGGGTTCCAGTTCAGACTGTAGCAAAGTATGATCTGAGTGTCTTTGTGTGATACACTGCATTAAGTCATTTTTTCCTTTGGTTTAGTGCAAACCCAGAACATGACTTGAGATTGTATTTGAGACAAAGAACCTTAACCATATTCAGAAATCATAGTCTGTCTGTTCACTTTGCCTCTGGATTAGGGTGCACAAAATATGCTAAGTCTTAATATGCTTTCTTTGGGGTTGGTTTACTTTATAATCATGGTTTAAGGCTTAGTACATTTTATAAAGCTAGCCAACTATGGATTATTGAGTACTGCATGACTAGCTGCAATGTGTAAAAACACCAACACTGCGCCCGAGGTCATCCAAAACAAGATGTTATTGTTTACAAAGTTTTTGAATCTAGTATTGAGGTTCTTTGGTGATGCTTTATTCTCTTGCAGATATTAGTTTGCAAGCAGCCTCTCAAATTCTGTCTACCCCTGTTTACAGTGCATTAAAAGTAATGAAAGACATTGCACAGAACTTCCCAGTGAAGGCCAGGTACAAATTATTTATCTTATAATCTTACAGATGTTTGGATTTTGTGCTTGTTTATCATTATAATTTATTTTAATTTGCATAGAGATGATGTCTTTTGTTATCTCTTTTTTTAAAAGCCTGAATGAAAATTGATAAAATTAAACTGCTGAGAAAGTCCAGCATGTAACTCTGAACATTCATTTTTAAATGGTCTATTCATTGCAAATTGCCAGATTTAGGGAATATGACCTCATGTTGCAATGATAGATTTTTGCAGCTTTCTGTTCCAAGAGATCCTACTCCATACATTCTCAGGCATCTGGTATCATGTTGTGATATTTCCTCTGTTATCAGGTTTTGACATTATTATACTGAACTTTTTATTGTATTTTATATGTTAAATGTGTTTTTCAGATCTTATTCCATTTACCCTCACAGTGATCACTACAGATGAACTAAAAGAATCAAATGGTTTTTTCTACTGTTCCAAAAAAAAAAAAATAGGCTATTGCTACTGCCTGCCATGCCTTGAATCCCAAATACCATTTTGTGCTTACTTGATTTTACAAGACCCAGCTGGCAATAGTTTCTGAACTATTGTGGCAACTTTATATAGGAACAAGGCAGCAGTGAGAATGTGCTGTATGTCAGGTTCGGTCAGCACGGGGCTTCGGGGAAGCTCGTAGCCAGCGAACTCCACCGGCAGTAGCTAGCGAGGAAAAGAGGAACTGAAAGCGCCGCTAATTAACGGGCCACCTGCGCCCAGCCAAACAGGAAAACCGCAGCGGAAGCTTTTAACTATAAACTGATAACGGCGCG